TGCAAACTCCCCTCTTCCCTTGTTCCTGGGAGTGGCAGAGGGTGGGGTGAAGGCCAAGCTCCCTTCTCCCATCCTTGTTCCTGTGAGCCTAAATTATAATCATTAAATTATTCAAGTATCTAGGCATTCATATCAAAAAGGGTGAAGCAGCAAAATATTTGCTGATAGATCCACAAGATGCCTTCTTGAACTAAAGTTCAAGAGACAGCAAGAAGTGGTTAACTCCATTTAAAGCTTCACTTGATGGCTCCTGCACCTTGTCACTCTTACTTCTAATCTGTTTGTGAATAATTTGAACTTGACAGCTGCTTTGACTTCTTAGATTTCTTTTTAAAGGTAATGATTTCTCATTTTAGGATGTCCCTTTTTTGTCCAGCTACCAATCGGGCATTCTATGCAGCCAGAGGCCAAGATCTAAACTTAGTGGGCAATTTTCCATAACCTTGTATCTCGTGTCTTAAACCTTTATAAAGTGGCCGTAAGAAATGCCAAGGCTCAGATTTACAAGATGGAAGGCAGTATACATGCAACAATATAGCCAGCAGTGCTCAGTCTTTGGGTCAGAAGAAAGGCATAGGGCTGGTCCACATGTGAGGATTGGATCCTGTACTCTAGGACTGGATCCTATGGTTCCACAACTGGCCCAGGGGGCCAGGATTGGGCACCGGTGCCCTGTGCTTGCCCCATCCACTGGGCCCAGGCACCCAGCTGCATGTGCTAAGATTCGGGCCTAGGACTCCATGCCACCCCTGCACGCTGGGCCTTGGTGCTTTCCCCATGCCAGCTCATGCATACACAGCCATCCCATGCACAGGCCTGGAAATGTGGCAGCAGAAGAGCGGTGCTGCTCTTCTGCCACCGTATTTTTGGCCTGGTGAGGCACCCTGCAGACTGAACAATGCCAGGGGCCATATCGGGCCCCTCCCCGATGATCTCACTGGGGATGGTCCTGTTTCTGAGTCCCCTCCTCGATACAGGTCCTAGTCGAGGTAGGAAAGCCAGCAGTCTTCACGGGGCCTTCAGCTGTGTTTGGCGTGTCGCTGGCATCCAGAACGGCCTGGCCAAGCCGCCTGGTTTGCAAGCGCTCCGTTTCTGCACCACCTCCTCGCTTCTCGGGGCCGGCTGGCACCCGCGAGCTGAGGCTTTGGGCTCGAAGGCAGCGCTGGGGGGCGGGGGCAGCGCTGGGGAAGCGGTAGCGCGTGATAGTCACCCGCGTTTGGAGGCCAGAGAAGGCAGAGGCACTGCCTGGCGCCCCGCGAAGCGCCCCGGGCCCCCGGTGCTCAGCAGCTCCCTTACAACCGGCCCGCGAGCCCCTGCCTGATGCCGCCCTGCCCAGCCCAGCCCAGCCCCGTCCAGTCCCAGAGCCTTCGGCTGCCTTTACCTCCAATAGCAACTGGCGGGAGGAGCGGCGGTGCGCATGCGCAACCGCGCACTTCCCCCAGCGAAGTAGTCTGATGCTGGCTCTGGACGGAGTGGAGGGGCGCGGTGACGTCACGGAGGGAGGAGTATTCGGCTGCCACTGCCTCCACTAGTAGCGGGTGGGAGGAGCTGCGCCTGCTTTTCTCCACCCTCCCTACAATCGTTTCCACTTCGGGTACTCTGATGCCAGCTCGGGGGGGCGGTGACATCACGGAAGGAGCGTTCGGCTGTCACAGCTTCCAACAGCATGTGGAGGTCGAGGCGGCTGGGCAGTGCGCATGCGCAGCTGCGCGCGATGCTCCCCCCCCCCCGACACCCTTTTCCCTACCGCCCG